CGGGTGGTGACGAGCGCCGTGCAGCGGTGCGGTGCACGCGTCCACACGCCGACGATATTTCTTTATTATTATTATTATTATTATTTGTTTCGCCTGTTTTGATTGTTTCGATGCTTTCCCGTGCAGGCGGTCATTGTCATCAATGCCGCACTCCGTTTTCTGACTACTGTCATACCTATTACTACCACTTCTTGGAGGCCACGTTGTTGAGCTGTAACGACTGCGAGTAGTGTATCCCCCGCGATTGCTTGTGTTGTTGTGCGGCAGCCGTGCCGGCGTTGCAGCGCTGTGCGTGGCGCGCGCGCGCGGCAGATCGTAGCAGTTGCTCTGTGTCAGCGCGACGACTTACCGAGCCAGTGTTTTTGTCTCCGTGTGTCTCTGATTCTTCTCTGTAGCTCTTTTGCCGCTTTCGCGACTGTGGCGTGCCCTGCGTCGGTGAAACCGTGTGTCTCTAAGCATATATGCGCTTCAACGCGCGTGCTGATTTCCCCGCTTCCGCTTGTGATGCAGGCCTCCCCCGCCACACCGGTCCTGTGCGCTTCTGTGTGCTGCTTTCTGTGTTGCGCTGCAGCAGCGTGCACAGCAGGTAGTGCTGTGAGCCACACATGTGCCGCCGCAATGGCATGGATGTCGAAGTAGTTGTGGCGTTTGGCTGCAGTTGCTTAGGCCTTGCTAGTGCCATGTAGGCTGACTGAGGCTGGGCTGGGCTGCTGTTGCTGGCGGTGATGATGGTTGACCTAATTGCTCGCCTGCTGTGCAGCTGTGCACGTTGTTTTTTGGTGTGCGCTCTCGCCCCCCATTTCCACGTTTCATCTCTCCCTCCTCTCGCTCTCTTCCTTGTGCTCGGCTCTGCCTCCCTTCGCTGCGCACCCCCGCCTTGTTAACAACCTCACATTGTCCCCCCCCCCTCCACCCTTGCCTTGCGTCCTCTCACGTGCGCGCACCGTTTGCGAACGCGCCAGACTTACAGTAGGACACTCTGCTACCTGATTTGTTTCTAACCGCGAACTGTACGACGACGCCCTCACGTGAAGACACCGCTCTCTCCCGCTGCAACTCTTCCCTTTCGCTCGTACTTCACTGAACCTCCGAGAATGAGCCTGCCGACCCTCGAGACGTGCCGCCAGCTGTTCGGCGACGTGTTGCGCGCCGCCGTTGCTGCGCAATCCGTGAAGGCGGATGAGCCGGCCGCCGACACGCCGGCCGATGCTGGCGATGATGATGATGGCAAGTGCTCGTCGCTGGAGGGCACGTACGAGGTTGGGCTGCACATTGGTGCGATCTTCATCATCCTCGCCGCGTCGCTGCTCGGCACGCTGATCCCGCTGGTGGGCAAGCGCGTGCCTGCGCTGCGTCTGCATCCGTACGTGTACGCTGTGGGCAAGTCCACCGCGACCGGCGTTGTGCTTGCTGTCGCGATGATCCACATGATCGGCGAGGCGACGTCGGACTTCGACCAGGACTGCGTCTCCGAGAGCTTCCGCGACATGTACGAGGGGTGGGCGTTCCTGTTTGCGATGATCGCTGCGGTGCTGATGCACGCCGTGGACGGGACCGTTGCGTGGATTGCGGAGCGCTGGAGCACGCGTGCTGCGGAGCACGAGGCTGGCTCTGCTGCTGTGCGCGCCGGTGCGGCGAATCCGTGCGATGACTCGCTGTGCAAGGAGTGCCCTGCGCGCGAGGTGGAGGCCCGGCAGCGTGGCGCCGACAAGCAGGACGGCGTCAACAGCGACGAGATGGACGTTGTCATGATGGACTCGCGCGGCGCTGTGGGCGATCCCGAGCCGGAGCAGTGCGACCAGGGTGCGGCGTGCCACGGCCACCAGCACGGTGTGGCGGTGCCGTCGGACATGCCGCTTGTGCAGCGCGCTGTTGCCGCGATCTGCATGGAGTTCGGTGTGACGCTGCACAGCGTGTTCGTGGGCCTTGCCGTTGCCGTGTCCAACGGGAGCGACCTGCGCGCACTGATCATTGCGCTTGTGTTCCACCAGATGTTCGAGGGCCTCGCGATGGGAGCCCGTCTCGCGGATGCTTCTTTCAAGCTGTCGCTGGAGATTGTGCTGATGCTCGTGTTCTCGTTCTCCGCGCCGATCGGCATTGCCGCTGGCACCGGCGCCGTGGTTGCGTCGCGCGACGCGTTCTCGGGCCCGTCGTACGCGATCGTGAGCGCCGTGCTGGACTCGATCTGCGGCGGCATCATGCTGTACATCGCCTTCAACCTGCTGTTCGTGGACTTCGCGTTCGACATCCGCACGCACTGCAGCGCTGGCCGCCCTTACGCCATCATCAAGCGCATGGGACTGTACGCGGGTCTGTGGATTGGCGCCGGCGTGATGGCTCTGATCGGTAAGTGGCTGTAGGCGCCCGCACTGCGGAGGGTGCGCGCGTCGCGGCTCGGCGCGTGCCGCGTTGACATCTTTTCCCCGTAACGTTTCCAAGACGGGCCGACGGCGTCGCTCTCTAACTTGCCTGATGCTTCGCGTTTTTTTTTCCTGTTTCTTCTGCATTTGTTTTTAATTGTCACAGCCTCGTAGTGGACAGCTTACACCTGTGTCCGTGGTCTTCAAACGTGTCGTGCGCAGCTGCGGCAGTAGTTGAGGTGCCTCTGCGTGTGCCGTGATGGTTGTCCCACTTTTCCCTTGTGCACGGACACACCGGTGGACTTTGTCAACCTAGTGAGATTAAAGTTATTATCTAAGCACTGTAAGGACGATGGTGGCTTTATGTGTACCACCACCTATTGGTTTCGTTCGTCTTTGTTTTATATTTGTTGTTTTTCTCTCGTTTCTTCTCTTGGTGCATGCTACGTCCTGCGATCTCTCCGCGCATTCTCTGCAACGTGTCGGAGCACTGCGGCGGCGAGATGGATGAGCAGCTTTTGCACGCGCTGCGCGTACGCCCTGTTGTGGCCGAGCGCTTCGCGAGATGCTGCACCTGCGGGTTTGTGCAGTCGTGAGAGATCGCAGAAAGTGTCGTTGCAAGCGCCACCACTGACATATGCGCGTGCATACTGACGCACATGTACCCGAACGCCGCGCCGGTGCGGCCTCTCCGCGTTTTCTTTTTTCTTTTGCTGTAACGTTTTTGTTTCTCGCTGTTTCTCTTTTGCACCTTGTGTAAGCGCGATATCTGAGGTGGGTGGGGGCATGTGGCGCTAAGTAATTTCTCGTTGCTACTGATCTCTCCGCCTTTCGAGTGCGGTGCTTCTTAGCAGCCACGCTTCTTCTCCTGTCTGCATAAGTATATGTATATATATAAGATTAAGTAACCTTTTTGCTGTGCTGAGGTCGAGGCCTCGTATTGCGGCGTGTGTGTGTTGACGCCCCACCATGAAGTGCGGCTCGCGAAGTGGCGACGACCACGGTGGGCTCGTACGCGGCGTGCGTTGCTGTGCGAGCGGAATATAAGGGCACGTAGCGATTCAGTGGCCGCGTGTGCGTCGAGGCGCGCACGTGTGTCCGCATGAGTTGAGCGGAGACGGACGCTGTGGAGCTGCCGTGGTGATGTGTGTGAGTGTGGACGCGGGGTGTGGCGGTGTGCGTTGCCGCTCCTCTACCCCCCCCCGCTGCCCCTCTCCCACTGGCCTGTGCCCTCCCCTGCTGTGCGTCTCCGCGTGAGTTTGCGCGCTGATCCACGTAGTTCTCTCTCCGCGGAGAGAGTGTAGGCAGATGTATGAAATGTGTCTGTGTGGTGTGCCCGTGGGGCACGCGAGTAGAGAGTTGTGTGTGCGCCTGTGTGACGGCGCTGCGCTGTGCTGCCGGGGTGATGTGGCGCCAGCGCTAGGTAAGGTAAATGGGGTGGTTTAAACCCGAAGAGTATGAACCGAATAAATAGCATTTAGCGCCAAATCGGATGTGCTGAAGTGTATTAACGGGGCGCCCGAACCCCGCCGAGTATCCGAGGCCGACGGACGTGCGCGTTGAGCGCTGCGTGTGTGTGGACTGCGCGCGTGCGTACGACGGGACGGAGAACCGCCAGATGGTTCCGCTGTCGTGCCGCGCTGCGTGTGCCGACCGTGTGCCGCCGCTGACCCATGAGTTGTGTGTGATGGTGTGTGTGATGGTGTGCGTGTGTGTGTGCGTGTGCGCCTGAGAGAGCAACGACGGGTGGTGACGAGCGCCGTGCAGCGGTGCGGTGCACGCGTCCACACGCCGACGATATTTCTTTATTATTATTATTATTATTATTTGTTTCGCCTGTTTTGATTGTTTCGATGCTTTCCCGTGCAGGCGGTCATTGTCATCAATGCCGCACTCCGTTTTCTGACTACTGTCATACCTATTACTACCACTTCTTGGAGGCCACGTTGTTGAGCTGTAACGACTGCGAGTAGTGTATCCCCCGCGATTGCTTGTGTTGTTGTGCGGCAGCCGTGCCGGCGTTGCAGCGCTGTGCGTGGCGCGCGCGCGCGGCAGATCGTAGCAGTTGCTCTGTGTCAGCGCGACGACTTACCGAGCCAGTGTTTTTGTCTCCGTGTGTCTCTGATTCTTCTCTGTAGCTCTTTTGCCGCTTTCGCGACTGTGGCGTGCCCTGCGTCGGTGAAACCGTGTGTCTCTAAGCATATATGCGCTTCAACGCGCGTGCTGATTTCCCCGCTTCCGCTTGTGATGCAGGCCTCCCCCGCCACACCGGTCCTGTGCGCTTCTGTGTGCTGCTTTCTGTGTTGCGCTGCAGCAGCGTGCACGGCCCTGCGAAGCCGCAATGAAACTATGTGGGTATCTTAGTGCCCTTGCGGTCATACCAGGAGGGGCGAAGCTGGTGTGAAGTCTCTGGCTGAGAGAGCGTTGGTGGGTAGCGGCGCTTGATGCCGCCTACTCGGTCACGAAATGCATCTTCTTTTCCGCTCGCATCCTCGGTGTCTTTGGCTCATATTCGCTCCCTTCGCCGCCCGTCATTGATCTCCTCTCACTGTTTACCTCCTGGCGACTTACTGACAAACGAACGCCTTCCTAACCTCTTTTCTATCCACTCCTGTGTGTCTGCCGTCTACTGGGGCCCAAAGCAACAATACAACGCCTTGTTCGCTAAGTTCCCCTTTCCAACACGATCTCTGCAGCGGCGCCTGAAGCGTTCACTAAACAGTCTCCTTTCCTTCTCTTTCCCTTCCCCCCTCGCTCTACTACAAACTCTGATAATGAGCCTTCCGACCCTCGAGACGTGCCGCCAGCTGTTCGGCGACGTGTTGCGCGCTGCCGTTGCTGTGCAGATGCTGGACGCGGAGTCGCACGGGCACTCGCACGCAGACTCGCACGGGCACTCGCACACGGACTCACATGCGGCCGGCGGTGATGACGGACATGGCCACGCGCACGGCGACGGCGACGGTGACGGCGATCACGGCCACAGTCACGGGGATCATGACCACAGTCACGGCGATCACGGCCACAGCCACGGGTGCGCGAGCATGGAGGGCGAGTATGCGCTGGGGCTGCACATTGCTGCGATCTTCATCATCCTCGCCGCGTCGCTGCTCGGCACGCTGATCCCGCTGGTGGGCAAGCGCGTGCCTGCGCTGCGTCTGCATCCGTACGTGTACGCTGTGGGCAAGTCCACCGCGACCGGCGTTGTGCTTGCTGTCGCGATGATCCACATGATCAACCACGCTGCTGTTGTTTTCGCTGCAGAATGTGTGCCCGAGAACTTCCGCGAGATGTACGAGGGGTGGGCGTTCCTGTTTGCGATGATCGCTGCGGTGCTGATGCACGCCGTGGACGGGACCATTGTATGGGTAGCGGAGCGCTGGAGCAAGCGTGCCGCTGTGCGCGCCGGTGCGACGGAGCCGTGCAACGACTCGCTGTGCAAGGAGTGCCCTGAGCGCGAGGCGGAGGCCCGGCAGCGTGGCGCCGACAAGCCGGACAGCCGACAGGACAGTGGTGAGGGCGACGAGATGGCTGCAGTTGTACTGAGCCCCGACGGTGCGGATGGCAAGCGCGACGTCGACGAGGTGGCGTGCCACGGCCACCAGCACGGTGTGGCGGTGCCGTCGGACATGCCGCTTGTGCAGCGCGTTGTTGCCGCGATCTGCATGGAGTTCGGTGTGACGCTGCACAGCGTGTTCGTGGGCCTTGCACTCGCCGTGTCCAACGGGAGCGACCTGCGCGCACTGATCATTGCGCTTGTGTTCCACCAGATGTTCGAGGGCCTCGCGATGGGAGCCCGTCTCGCGGATGCTTCTTTCAAGCTGTCGCTGGAGATTCTTCTGATGCTCGTGTTCTCGTTCTCCGCGCCGATCGGCATTGCCGCTGGCACCGGCGCCGTGGTTGCGTCGCGCGACGCGTTCTCGGGCCCGTCGTACGCGATCGTGAGCGCCGTGCTGGACTCGATCTGCGGCGGCATCATGCTGTACATCGCCTTCAACCTGCTGTTCGTGGACTTCGCGTTCGACATCTGCACGCACTGCAGCGCTGGCCGCCCTTACGCCATCATCAAGCGCATGGGACTGTACGCGGGTCTGTGGGTTGGCGCCGGCGTGATGGCCGGGATCGGTAAGTGGCTGTAGGCGCCCGCACTGCGGAGGGTGCGCGCGTCGCGGCTCGGCGTGTGCTGCGGTTCGGCGGCGAGCCGTTACACACCGTCGCCGTTTCTGCTGCGTGCTGCGACGACTCTCGCCCATCTTTTATTGCTTTATTTTTCTATGTCGTTGTGCTAACTGACGCCGTTTGTACGGCGCCGCGTGCTAAGCTGCGTAACGCTCGCTTCTCTTCTCTTTCTCTCCGCCTCTTCTCCTGTTTCAAAGAGTCCAGAAGTAGTGCACGCGTCGGTAGCGACATCGTCTTTTTTTTCTGTTCAACCCCTTTATAACGTGTGTCGCTGCTGCATAAGCGCCCTTTTTTTTTCTCTCTCTCTCTCTCTCTGTTTCTATCTCTCTCTCTCTTGTACTATTGTTTGATGAGTTAGCGTTCCACCCTGATAGATTCGCTTTCTTGTCTTTCACTAATTATAACGCTCAGCAGATGAGCCTGCGAAGGAAGAGTTGCTTGCCAAAGAACACGGGCAATCACCTTCGAAAGAGTGTGTCGGTGTCCAGGTAAAGAAACGGTCCACGCCACCCAATCAGATGCGCTGCGCTGCTCGCTCAGTATGGAAGCATCCCTCTGGCGAGAGTGCGCAGACACACGTCTGAGCTGATGCCTGCGCGCTGCGTGGTGTGGTGTGACCGAGCGAGACCCGAGCACTCCGTGTTCGTTTCCTCCTCTTGCTTTTTGTTTTGTAATGCCAGTGCGCTTAAAAAGGCGTCTGATGCTCTTCTCTCTCAATTTCCCCTTATTTTGTTTTTCTTCAGCGAACCTAAGTGCTTCTAACTGTACCGTTTATTTTTGTTTTCTGGCTTCTTTACTTGTGTGGCCCTATTTTCTCTGCTGTAGCTGTGTATGTAAGTAACGCTGTCGCCGGAGACGGTGCTCGCGCTGTTGATGTGTAGAGGGCGCGGCGTGCCACGGCCACCAGCACGGTGTGGCGGTGCCGTCGGACATGCCGCTTGTGCAGCGCGCTGTTGCCGCGATCTGCATGGAGTTCGGTGTGACGCTGCACAGCGTGTTCGTGGGCCTTGCCGTTGCCGTGTCCAACGGGAGCGACCTGCGCGCACTGATCATTGCGCTTGTGTTCCACCAGATGTTCGAGGGCCTCGCGATGGGAGCCCGTCTCGCGGATGCTTCTTTCAAGCTGTCGCTGGAGATTGTGCTGATGCTCGTGTTCTCGTTCTCCGCGCCGATCGGCATTGCCGCTGGCACCGGCGCCGTGGTTGCGTCGCGCGACGCGTTCTCGGGCCCGTCGTACGCGATCGTGAGCGCCGTGCTGGACTCGATCTGCGGCGGCATCATGCTGTACATCGCCTTCAACCTGCTGTTCGTGGACTTCGCGTTCGACATCCGCACGCACTGCAGCGCTGGCCGCCCTTACGCCATCATCAAGCGCATGGGACTGTACGCGGGTCTGTGGATTGGCGCCGGCGTGATGGCTCTGATCGGTAAGTGGCTGTAGGCGCCCGCACTGCGGAGGGTGCGCGCGTCGCGGCTCGGCGCGTGCCGCGTTGACATCTTTTCCCCGTAACGTTTCCAAGACGGGCCGACGGCGTCGCTCTCTAACTTGCCTGATGCTTCGCGTTTTTTTTTCCTGTTTCTTCTGCATTTGTTTTTAATTGTCACAGCCTCGTAGTGGACAGCTTACACCTGTGTCCGTGGTCTTCAAACGTGTCGTGCGCAGCTGCGGCAGTAGTTGAGGTGCCTCTGCGTGTGCCGTGATGGTTGTCCCACTTTTCCCTTGTGCACGGACACACCGGTGGACTTTGTCAACCTAGTGAGATTAAAGTTATTATCTAAGCACTGTAAGGACGATGGTGGCTTTATGTGTACCACCACCTATTGGTTTCGTTCGTCTTTGTTTTATATTTGTTGTTTTTCTCTCGTTTCTTCTCTTGGTGCATGCTACGTCCTGCGATCTCTCCGCGCATTCTCTGCAACGTGTCGGAGCACTGCGGCGGCGAGATGGATGAGCAGCTTTTGCACGCGCTGCGCGTACGCCCTGTTGTGGCCGAGCGCTTCGCGAGATGCTGCACCTGCGGGTTTGTGCAGTCGTGAGAGATCGCAGAAAGTGTCGTTGCAAGCGCCACCACTGACATATGCGCGTGCATACTGACGCACATGTACCCGAACGCCGCGCCGGTGCGGCCTCTCCGCGTTTTCTTTTTTCTTTTGCTGTAACGTTTTTGTTTCTCGCTGTTTCTCTTTTGCACCTTGTGTAAGCGCGATATCTGAGGTGGGTGGGGGCATGTGGCGCTAAGTAATTTCTCGTTGCTACTGATCTCTCCGCCTTTCGAGTGCGGTGCTTCTTAGCAGCCACGCTTCTTCTCCTGTCTGCATAAGTATATGTATATATATAAGATTAAGTAACCTTTTTGCTGTGCTGAGGTCGAGGCCTCGTATTGCGGCGTGTGTGTGTTGACGCCCCACCATGAAGTGCGGCTCGCGAAGTGGCGACGACCACGGTGGGCTCGTACGCGGCGTGCGTTGCTGTGCGAGCGGAATATAAGGGCACGTAGCGATTCAGTGGCCGCGTGTGCGTCGAGGCGCGCACGTGTGTCCGCATGAGTTGAGCGGAGACGGACGCTGTGGAGCTGCCGTGGTGATGTGTGTGAGTGTGGACGCGGGGTGTGGCGGTGTGCGTTGCCGCTCCTCTACCCCCCCCCGCTGCCCCTCTCCCACTGGCCTGTGCCCTCCCCTGCTGTGCGTCTCCGCGTGAGTTTGCGCGCTGATCCACGTAGTTCTCTCTCCGCGGAGAGAGTGTAGGCAGATGTATGAAATGTGTCTGTGTGGTGTGCCCGTGGGGCACGCGAGTAGAGAGTTGTGTGTGCGCCTGTGTGACGGCGCTGCGCTGTGCTGCCGGGGTGATGTGGCGCCAGCGCTAGGTAAGGTAAATGGGGTGGTTTAAACCCGAAGAGTATGAACCGAATAAATAGCATTTAGCGCCAAATCGGATGTGCTGAAGTGTATTAACGGGGCGCCCGAACCCCGCCGAGTATCCGAGGCCGACGGACGTGCGCGTTGAGCGCTGCGTGTGTGTGGACTGCGCGCGTGCGTACGACGGGACGGAGAACCGCCAGATGGTTCCGCTGTCGTGCCGCGCTGCGTGTGCCGACCGTGTGCCGCCGCTGACCCATGAGTTGTGTGTGATGGTGTGTGTGATGGTGTGCGTGTGTGTGTGCGTGTGCGCCTGAGAGAGCAACGACGGGTGGTGACGAGCGCCGTGCAGCGGTGCGGTGCACGCGTCCACACGCCGACGATATTTCTTTATTATTATTATTATTATTATTTGTTTCGCCTGTTTTGATTGTTTCGATGCTTTCCCGTGCAGGCGGTCATTGTCATCAATGCCGCACTCCGTTTTCTGACTACTGTCATACCTATTACTACCACTTCTTGGAGGCCACGTTGTTGAGCTGTAACGACTGCGAGTAGTGTATCCCCCGCGATTGCTTGTGTTGTTGTGCGGCAGCCGTGCCGGCGTTGCAGCGCTGTGCGTGGCGCGCGCGCGCGGCAGATCGTAGCAGTTGCTCTGTGTCAGCGCGACGACTTACCGAGCCAGTGTTTTTGTCTCCGTGTGTCTCTGATTCTTCTCTGTAGCTCTTTTGCCGCTTTCGCGACTGTGGCGTGCCCTGCGTCGGTGAAACCGTGTGTCTCTAAGCATATATGCGCTTCAACGCGCGTGCTGATTTCCCCGCTTCCGCTTGTGATGCAGGCCTCCCCCGCCACACCGGTCCTGTGCGCTTCTGTGTGCTGCTTTCTGTGTTGCGCTGCAGCAGCGTGCACGGCCCTGCGAAGCCGCAATGAAACTATGTGGGTATCTTAGTGCCCTTGCGGTCATACCAGGAGGGGCGAAGCTGGTGTGAAGTCTCTGGCTGAGAGAGCGTTGGTGGGTAGCGGCGCTTGATGCCGCCTACTCGGTCACGAAATGCATCTTCTTTTCCGCTCGCATCCTCGGTGTCTTTGGCTCATATTCGCTCCCTTCGCCGCCCGTCATTGATCTCCTCTCACTGTTTACCTCCTGGCGACTTACTGACAAACGAACGCCTTCCTAACCTCTTTTCTATCCACTCCTGTGTGTCTGCCGTCTACTGGGGCCCAAAGCAACAATACAACGCCTTGTTCGCTAAGTTCCCCTTTCCAACACGATCTCTGCAGCGGCGCCTGAAGCGTTCACTAAACAGTCTCCTTTCCTTCTCTTTCCCTTCCCCCCTCGCTCTACTACAAACTCTGATAATGAGCCTTCCGACCCTCGAGACGTGCCGCCAGCTGTTCGGCGACGTGTTGCGCGCTGCCGTTGCTGTGCAGATGCTGGACGCGGAGTCGCACGGGCACTCGCACGCAGACTCGCACGGGCACTCGCACACGGACTCACATGCGGCCGGCGGTGATGACGGACATGGCCACGCGCACGGCGACGGCGACGGTGACGGCGATCACGGCCACAGTCACGGGGATCATGACCACAGTCACGGCGATCACGGCCACAGCCACGGGTGCGCGAGCATGGAGGGCGAGTATGCGCTGGGGCTGCACATTGCTGCGATCTTCATCATCCTCGCCGCGTCGCTGCTCGGCACGCTGATCCCGCTGGTGGGCAAGCGCGTGCCTGCGCTGCGTCTGCATCCGTACGTGTACGCTGTGGGCAAGTCCACCGCGACCGGCGTTGTGCTTGCTGTCGCGATGATCCACATGATCAACCACGCTGCTGTTGTTTTCGCTGCAGAATGTGTGCCCGAGAACTTCCGCGAGATGTACGAGGGGTGGGCGTTCCTGTTTGCGATGATCGCTGCGGTGCTGATGCACGCCGTGGACGGGACCATTGTATGGGTAGCGGAGCGCTGGAGCAAGCGTGCCGCTGTGCGCGCCGGTGCGACGGAGCCGTGCAACGACTCGCTGTGCAAGGAGTGCCCTGAGCGCGAGGCGGAGGCCCGGCAGCGTGGCGCCGACAAGCCGGACAGCCGACAGGACAGTGGTGAGGGCGACGAGATGGCTGCAGTTGTACTGAGCCCCGACGGTGCGGATGGCAAGCGCGACGTCGACGAGGTGGCGTGCCACGGCCACCAGCACGGTGTGGCGGTGCCGTCGGACATGCCGCTTGTGCAGCGCGTTGTTGCCGCGATCTGCATGGAGTTCGGTGTGACGCTGCACAGCGTGTTCGTGGGCCTTGCACTCGCCGTGTCCAACGGGAGCGACCTGCGCGCACTGATCATTGCGCTTGTGTTCCACCAGATGTTCGAGGGCCTCGCGATGGGAGCCCGTCTCGCGGATGCTTCTTTCAAGCTGTCGCTGGAGATTCTTCTGATGCTCGTGTTCTCGTTCTCCGCGCCGATCGGCATTGCCGCTGGCACCGGCGCCGTGGTTGCGTCGCGCGACGCGTTCTCGGGCCCGTCGTACGCGATCGTGAGCGCCGTGCTGGACTCGATCTGCGGCGGCATCATGCTGTACATCGCCTTCAACCTGCTGTTCGTGGACTTCGCGTTCGACATCTGCACGCACTGCAGCGCTGGCCGCCCTTACGCCATCATCAAGCGCATGGGACTGTACGCGGGTCTGTGGGTTGGCGCCGGCGTGATGGCCGGGATCGGTAAGTGGCTGTAGGCGCCCGCACTGCGGAGGGTGCGCGCGTCGCGGCTCGGCGTGTGCTGCGGTTCGGCGGCGAGCCGTTACACACCGTCGCCGTTTCTGCTGCGTGCTGCGACGACTCTCGCCCATCTTTTATTGCTTTATTTTTCTATGTCGTTGTGCTAACTGACGCCGTTTGTACGGCGCCGCGTGCTAAGCTGCGTAACGCTCGCTTCTCTTCTCTTTCTCTCCGCCTCTTCTCCTGTTTCAAAGAGTCCAGAAGTAGTGCACGCGTCGGTAGCGACATCGTCTTTTTTTTCTGTTCAACCCCTTTATAACGTGTGTCGCTGCTGCATAAGCGCCCTTTTTTTTTCTCTCTCTCTCTCTCTCTGTTTCTATCTCTCTCTCTCTTGTACTATTGTTTGATGAGTTAGCGTTCCACCCTGATAGATTCGCTTTCTTGTCTTTCACTAATTATAACGCTCAGCAGATGAGCCTGCGAAGGAAGAGTTGCTTGCCAAAGAACACGGGCAATCACCTTCGAAAGAGTGTGTCGGTGTCCAGGTAAAGAAACGGTCCACGCCACCCAATCAGATGCGCTGCGCTGCTCGCTCAGTATGGAAGCATCCCTCTGGCGAGAGTGCGCAGACACACGTCTGAGCTGATGCCTGCGCGCTGCGTGGTGTGGTGTGACCGAGCGAGACCCGAGCACTCCGTGTTCGTTTCCTCCTCTTGCTTTTTGTTTTGTAATGCCAGTGCGCTTAAAAAGGCGTCTGATGCTCTTCTCTCTCAATTTCCCCTTATTTTGTTTTTCTTCAGCGAACCTAAGTGCTTCTAACTGTACCGTTTATTTTTGTTTTCTGGCTTCTTTACTTGTGTGGCCCTATTTTCTCTGCT